ATTTAAAGACACAGAAAGCAAATCAGTGGTTGGACTGGGCTGGAAAGGGGTTGTGGGATGGGGCAGAAGGGATTGACTGCAAATAGGCCTGAAGAAACTCTGAGTGATGCTAGAGAGATTCTGAAACTGGGTCATGGTGATATTTGCCAGGTTCTACAGATTTACAAATCATCATTGAATTGATGGACCGTAGTGTTTATCCATCATAAGTGATAAACACTATGGTATGTAAAATATGCCTCAATGAAATTGGTTGAAGTTGGCACTTGATTACCATCATATTTTTATTTCAGTGATATTATAGTTTCAGAAACCTTTCCCAGGAAATGTAAAAAAAAAAAAAAAAAAAAAAGTCTTTAATCACAGAATCCAGATTTTAAGTTGGTTTCTTTTCTTCTCCTCAAACCCCTGAGGCCCTTCACCTTTATACGGGTGGAGACATATTCAGAATGTAAAAAACTTCCTTCCCCTTCAAACTAATTAAGTAAGCTCTGATGACATCAGCTGTATTCGCAGCACACCTGATTAAGGCCATGATACTAATTAAATTCTTGAATGATTAGAAATGCAAATTGTCAGGCCTTGTACAGCAACAGGCATTGCTTCCTGGCTCTAGAATAATAAGTCTGGGAAATGATCAGGTTCATCTTGAGTTTGCCCTGAGTAAGAAAATAATAATAACTATGAATGGCTAAAACTTACCTATTTACAAGGGTCAAAATTTCCCTAGTAGAGTTAGCTCTTTTCTAGGTGAGTTCATTGAGAAGTGCTGTGACAGGGTAGGATGTCCCCGAGCTTTAGGGCTGCACAGAAAAGAGTTCAAATTCTGCTCTGTCACTTACCAGACAGGATTGTTGCTTAATTTAATTTTATTTCTTCTAGCCCACATATCTGTAATATGGAATCTGATTCTTTATCTCAAAGAACTTAGAGGCCGATTAAAGGAGATCTTTTATGTGTCATTGGGTCTTGCATTAATAAATGGAATCCACTCAAAGGCTTAGTAAGGCAAGGAGTCTTATCACTTTATTCATTCAACACACACTGACTGAGTGGTCTACTGTGAGAAATTGAAGGTCCAGCGATCCATTTGCAGAATATAGTATCTAGCCTTAAAGGTAAAATTGGGATATAAGAAAAGCAGCTGGAGGGGAGAGCAGAATGGAAAGCTAAAAGCAGGTAACACCAGAGTGTGATAAATTCATGGCCCCTTGATAAATAGGAGGTGAGGGGGAAGGATTGATCTAACCAGCAGAGATACACTCAACCCAAGAAGGCCTTCCTGCCACAAGAGAGCAAAGGGAGGTGGGCACAACAAAAGGTACATTTCCTTAAATAACCCAATAGGAGATAGTAAAGCCTATTTGACATTTGGGAAGGCTGCACATCCCATGGTACTCAGACACTGAGGAATCTTGTGCACGAGGGAATAAATGCTGATTGTAATTGCTCTAGGTGTGTCTGCTCCCCCAGATATCAGTCTTGCAAGACCATCATTAAAAGCCTCACTTCTCTGTACCTTTTGTCTCTCAGTTCATTCTTTGGGTTTGGAGAGGTGAGCATGTTTCTCACATCTACTATCCACTTATTCCTCAAATTCAGCAAACATTGTGTGGACATCTGCTATATTCATACCATTCTTAGTGTTCTAGATGCATCCGTGAGTTTAAAAAGACAAAATCTATGTGGGTAATAACTATAAACACTATCAATAACTAAATGTTTTTGTGTTAGATATAATAATATGTCCTGTGGAAAAAGAGCAAAATGAGTAAGAAGGGTCTGGAGTCATGGAGGTAGGGTATATAAATGATGAGTTACAACTTCAGGTGGTCAGAGAAGGGCTCATTGAGTAGGCAAAATGTGAGGAAAGCCTCAAAGGAGTTAAAGGAGGTAGCCATCATCCAGAGATGTCTGGGGAAGAGTTGAATAAACATCTAGTACAATGATGCTCAGGTGGAATGTGCTAGAAACCTTTACAGAGCACTGGGGCATGGGTAGGGAGATACAAGGGTAAGCTGAAGAGTAAGAACTTCATTCAAACTCTGCCTCCTTCCCCTGCCTGTCATCTCTTCTTTGGCTTGTTATTTAATATCTCTGAGCATATAGCCCTTCGTCTACAAAATGAGATTTGAATATCTATTTCCAAAAAAGATTACCTGTCCCAAAAGATTGAAGCATTCTCTTATCCCAGTGACCTCTGAAGCTGGAGTTTGTAGGTTATGTTTCAGCAGAAAAAGCAGAACAGAGACTGCTATTTTATTTCTGTCTACTTGTGATCCATTCAGCATCTTGCATCCCCTTCCACTGAGCTCATTCCAGTACTGCATCCGGTTGGTGGGCAGTGAGGAGACGGGGCTGGCTGAGGTTGAAGAACAATTGTGGGATATGAAAAAAAGATGTAGCTGTAAGAGAGAGAAGCATTAGTTTATTCTCTCAACAAGTAGTTGTTACAGAATGAATAAACTAATCCAGCTATCTACTATGTTCTGTATGCACTTATTGCATTGAAAAAAACAATGCAGAGAGTGGTTTTAAATATTAAGATGATCAATTTTATATACATATAAATGTGCGTGTGTGTGTGTGTGTGTGTGTGTGTGTGTGTGTGTGTGTGGTTTTCTCAGAATCAACTATACATCAAAGGTGACTCATACGCTTTTGTTAGGTACTTCTGGTGAATTGTGTGTTGGAGTTTGAGAGAACAGGATCCTGGTATCTTCTTTAATGTAATTCCTCTCAAACTTTCCTTTGGTTCCTTGCTGGATGTAAATGGTATAATGGAAAGAACACGGAATTCAGTTAGAAGATCTTAATTCAACAACTACCTCTTCAAGATTGAACTGTATGACTTGCTATTTATCTCCCCTGAGCTTTATTTTCCTCACTTATATAATAACAATGAAACCTCTACATTGCCTGCCTCCCAAACATCAAAGGGCAAATGAGGAAAAGCATTTGAAATCACTTGGTCAACTATACATGTTACCCTGAAGTGTGGTGAGGGGTTACTGTTGAAGAAAGAGGCTGATGGAAACTGGGGGATGGTCAGTTATTTGTTGTAAAAAGAATAGTTTTGGCATTTCTCCACTGGGTAGACGTTTGGTGCTAATTTATGCACATTAGTTAATTTTGTTTTGCTGGGGGCTCAGATGGGACTCCCTGATGGATGTGCCATCCATGACAGAGTCAAGAAAAGCACATGGCTCAATACTGTGATCCTTTCAGGGTTGGAACTAAAGGAGAAGGGCTCTTGAGAAGCATGGGTTTGGCTGTCAATTTCAAAGTCATCTGCTCACGGAAACCCTGCTGAGGCCCAGAAAGCCGGATGAGGAAAGAAAACTCTCCTTCCTCTAACACCCTTGGGGGCGTTTTCAACCCAGCACTTCAGCCGTCTGGGTTTTCCATGCCAGGCATATAGGAAGGTACTGCATTCACAAAATGGTGCCTGGTGGTGCCATGCCCTTCTTTCCAAGCTCTGAAACCATCTGGGCTAGCTACAAGTGAGAAGAAGAAAGTGGCATACTCTTCCATGCAGAAAAACACTTTTAGGAGTGAAATTTAAGACATATTCTTGGGAAAAAGAGAATTATTCAGGAGAATGACAGCAAGATGCTCTGTAAAATTAAGTGTGCCTGGTTAGAGCATTAATTGGGTATGGCAGAGAAGAATCACTGAATTAAGAATCGTTCAACCTGATAGTGGGACATGAGGCATGTGAACCTTTGCATCTCTGCTTGTGGGTTCATCTCACTCTGCGAGCTGCAAGCTGCTATGAATAGGACCAAGGTTTTTGCATTTTTTCTTCTCGCTCCAGGGCTCAGCCCCTGTGCCTGGCATTCTGCAGTCACTCGGCACATGTGACTCAATGGAATGGTGGCACTATCTCTGTCCATGCAATCAGGCTGGCTAGGAAAGAAAGGCTATCCCTGAGTTTACCATGGGTAAGTCTCCTCGATGTTCTACAATCCTCAATATTTGGGGATGATTTTCAATTGGTCAAAACATTTCTATTCTTTGGTACCTATTCATTTGCCCTATCACATGGGCTAGCTATGGGCCAGGGTGCAAGCTTGCTGTGGCCTCTTTCTATGAGGCTGACATCCCCAGACATGCTGGATGGTCCAGAGGTGACGTAATGTCCTACGGGTATTAATAATTGGGATATTGATAATCAAAAGTGCCTTATAGTGGCAAAAAATGTAGAATCAATTTGATAGCTATTTAGAAATTTTCAATTTTATTTGAACTTTCCATGTACAACTTTGTGTATAAATGTCTTAACTTCTGTAATGACTGATTGTAGGCAATTCTTTGAATACTCCTGCCACAGGAAGTGTTCCTTCCAGGACAGCTAAACAACGTTTCATTTCCTGGATCTTCCTGTTAAACAAGTATTAGTTTGCTTATTCTTTTTTGTCATGATGTGTTTATCAACATAGAAGTTCTTTGCTTTGCTTATAGTGCAAAATATTAGATTTTTTTCTTAATTTTCTCTTATTTTTGTATTTTTCTGTCAACACATGTAATTTTTATCCCTCCCTCTTAAAAGCCAGGCATTGGGTGTTCCTCAATAGAAAATTATTAGCTGGGAGATTTTAATCAAATTCTATATTTAATCTTTCAACATATTTTATTTTTAAAAAATATTTTTATTAATTAATTTCATTACTAAGCCTCTTCTAGAATTTCCCAAATTCTTTCCAACTTACTCTACTCATGAAATTATGATTTTCTGTGTGTCATAAGGTGAAAACGTTAGGGTAATACTGCTATAAATTATCCGTGTTGCAGTTTTTCACCTTGGGAGATTAGATGTAAGTAGAAACAATGTTCATCTTGGCAGAAGGGATTTGTTAGAGGAATCCAGGATGTTTCTATGTTCATTTTTAAAGTGCCATTGGCTAAGATGGTAAGATAAAGAGGGACACTTTATTTTTTTGTGAACAGTATTTCTTAATGATGGACATTTCCTGATGGGATTGAATGTGTCTCTGCAGATGCCTCCCTTCTCACCTGGATCACCTTGCTTCCTTCAAGAAAAAAGGGGTGGAAAGAGCCCACAGGAACTGAAAAGGTAAATAGCTCTACATCCAGCACACCAATCTTTGAAATTAAACATGGATTTTACAGACTGCAAAATGTCAGAGTCATACTAGTCATACAATTTATTAAACTACATTTAAATGAAAAGTAAGTGGTAACTCTTCTATTTAAAAATTAATTGAACAACTGCTATTATATTGAATTGAAACACTTAAATTTCATTTCTACTGATTAAATACACCCAGTATAGGAGGGGAAAAAACCTATAAATGGATCTGAAACTGACCTTGGATTATTTTCCCAGGGTGACGGAAGTGTGTGGAAGGGGGTGTCCCATTTCTCGGCAGGGCTGGGAGGAAGGTTAACCTGCAGTAGAATGGCTGTCCCAGGGCAGGGAGGGCACAAGGCACCAACTCAGTGGTCTTAGGAGTATGATTGTCATGGTTAGTGAATGAAAATGCAATACATGCCATATTTGGCACACACACTAAAACTTTATTTGTCGCTTCTCAAAATTTAACAGAATATTCTGTTTTTATCTAGTGACTCCACTTAGGGGAAAATTGGAGGGAAAGGGATCTGGGAAACTGTTAAGAATGAAAAAAAAGTGGTGATGGTGGGAATCTGCCAGTTAGTAAGTGGGTAGTATAATTGGGGGGAGAGGTGGAGACATAGCATCATTCCTGTGTCATTTATTTGGGAGGGGGGATTTCACAGGATTCCTAGGGGCCAGGGGCTGATTGAGTATGGTTCAAGTCAGCACTGATTCTTGAAGAATATCAGAAATTACACACAAAAAGAAGAAGATGGGAGTTGAGGAAGGGCATCACATGCAGAGCAAATAGCATGTACTGAAGGGTAGAATAACCTCAGTATCCTTTCCATGACACCAATCTGTTCTCCCCAGAGGCCATCCCTCCTTCCTTTCCCTATACTATCATTGTCCTTTTCCGAAGCCCTTGTACTTTCTGCTATAGGGACATCTGTGATTGAGACCCATCACAGTAGCAGTTGGTAGGTAGGATATGGGACAAACCCTGGACACATCTACGAAATGAGCCAAGAACACAGATGCTTTTAATAGAAGATTGACAAGGCACACGCATCAAAAGTTTCAACAATTTTTTCAAGCAAGGCAACATTTTGTTATATATATGCACCTAAGTCAACTACGAAGATTGATTCATATAACATCAGACCTGAGGTATCTATTTCCCATGAGAGAAGGAACAATATGAAAGCAGACCAAATGGAAAAACAAGGAAAATTCCTTGCATTCCCTAAGGTTTATCCTGGGGCCACCCCATACTGCTAAAGTATATGAGGAAAAGCTCTTTGTTGTACATCTCAGCAGTCGACTGCTTTTGAATGTTATCTTTTAGAGGAGAGAGGTTGTCTCTTCCCCAGTCCTTGAAGTTCTCTTATAAACTTTATGATATTATGTGAATAAATAAGTAAGAACATGCTTTCTTCTTGGAGGCACACAAAAGGAGGACCCTTGGGCATCGTGGGAGGGAAATTTTCTTGCTGTCCTTTTCCATTAATGGTATGATTTAGAGACAAGCCTATGCAGACTATGTCTTCTAGTAGCTTTAAGATTTAGATATCTGTCCCTTTTAAAATTTGTTTGCTTGCTTTAAAATGTTGGTTGCCAGAGCTCTATCATTTATGATAGGTTAGGGTTTTCCTTGCTATGGTTTTGTTTTGGTTTGGTTGCTGGAGCTGAGGGAGGTGTTTTGGGGAATTATACTTTGCTCAACAGCTATCTAAGGGTTCGAAGTGGTTCGACCTTGTTTTTTTTTTTTTTCCCTGAGAAAGAGCCATCTCTGGTTCTCTCAGCCATCTGGAAAATTTGTCTTTTTCCAGACTTTGATGAGAGTGTGGTTTCCTTTGCTTCCCTAGTCCACAGTGCCCCTGTTTGGGAGGAGGTTAACACCACCCTGGGTCCACTGAGGGTTGGTTTCTGCTCTCTGGCGCCACCTGCTGTAACCAGCTGCACTCACAGGCTTCCCAGTCTCCAGCCCCAGGCTCCCAGCAGGAGCCAGAGCCAGAACCTCAGCCCAAGCAGATGTTGTACAGGCTGCCAAATTTCTGTCCAGACCTTATCTGTGCTGCCTCCACTGGCTCCCTCGCTCAGAATCCCAAGTGTCCCCAGATGACTTGTCTCAAGTCACGCAGACCCTGAGCTCCTGGGCCAGAGAGAGGGAGCCTGCCAGTTTGGGGGTTGCTGACCAGTGTGGCTCTTGCCAGTGACAGTGTGGTCAGTGGAGGCCACCTCTCCTTAGCAGTGAAAATGCACATGGATTTCTTTCAAGGTGTTAATAGGCACATGGAACTTATTCTCTAAAGGACTTTCCATTGTATCCCCAATGTGTCCCCTGATTGAGCCCTCAAGTATTTCCCAAGTTGCTCAGGAATTGAAATTTATTTTCCTCCGCTCTGGACTTTTCTACATTTTCACATAAATTAGCAATTCTAACCAAGGACCACAAAGAAAATGAAGTGCTGGTTTTTACTAGATTTTTATTAGGAAAGTTACCCCATTACTCCCTGTTCCAGATTGAAGTTCTCTTAACGGCAGGTACTTACTCATTTGTTCCTCCTCCATCACAGGCAGCCTGGCACATAGTAGGTGCTTCATAAAACATGGTGAAATGAGTAGTCTCTAGCTGATCAAAATCCTTCTTAAAGTTCTTTTCTATTTGGCTATGAGAAGGGAAAACTGTCAGATTTGAGATTCTGAGAGTTCATTCCTAATATAAGTCCCCACCCTGAATAAAGTTGATTCAGTAGAAAGAAATTAAGGGGAATAGTAATAACAATTTCTGTTATCACTGATAAGAATGAGGGTGATGACTAACTAATGTCTCCTGAAGTTAGGAAAAAAAATAGAAATACATGCTTGCAGGACAGAATTGGTTTGATATAAGATAGAACTTCCGGAGAGCCAAGGGTACAAGATACTCTTGTGAAATATAAAGTGGAGTTTATGCCAACAACTACTCGAGAGTGAGATAACGCATCCATTTCATACAATAATCACTTAAACTTCTGCATTGTGCCAGTGCTACAAGAGATGATGAAGTTAAAAAGGTTAATTATGTACAGTGCTTATCCCCCGAGAAGATAGGAGAAAGTAAATGGACAATTTTCTAAAGGCATAGAATTTTCTAATGGCAAAGAAAGAGGCATGGCCAGGGTGCTGTGGGAATCCTTAGATGAAGGGAAGCCCTAATTCAAGTTGTGTGGTGAGGGAAGGCTTCCTGGAGGAGGTGATGCTTGTATGAGTCTTACCACCGGGTGGAAGATGTCCAGATGAATGCATGCAGTAGGTGGATTCCAGGAAAAGTGAACAGTTAGATATACAGAGGTACAAACATCTGCAGATCACAGGAAATCCTTCCAGTCCTTCTCAGCTGAGTCATCTAGAAAATGCTACTGTGCCAGAGAAAATGCCTTACAACCTGGGTGCCAAAAGTGGCTCAGTTTTCTGTTTCACGGTGGGTTTGTCTCCTTGTTGCAATGACTTCTAGATTTGGAGGCAATGGGCAATAATCTTTTCAACTCCAGCATCTTATTCAGTGCTGGCACCAGCAGAAGCTTAAGAATTGCTTATGGAGCTGACTGGGTATGCCATCCCTCTAACGTGGTTGTTGGAGTAAACTTCCCTCTGTATTTTACACAAGTGTCCCATAACCTTCACTCTTTGAAAGGTCTCAGGTATCCTGTTTTTCTCTGCAATGGAGGGTCATGGTCTCTGAATCAGCCTTTCTGCCCTAATATTCAGGGCACCCCATATCCCTGATGCTTCAAATCCCATGTAGCTGGGGATTGCCCACAGAGCCATGCTGCCTGGAGTCCTGGCCCAGGGTTTCTTGTGTGTCCCAGAGTACCTCAGGGAGAAAAGCTAAGGCAGCTCAGAAAATACGCCAACTGCTACCTGGAAATTCTCTCACAGCAGCTACCGTTTGAATTCCAACAGATTATTAGTCCCATTTTACAGATGGGAAAACAGAGGATGATGGGCATGGAGCTGCTTTCTAGGTCCTAGGGAATAGCCAATGCCTTTTATATATTAATTTAGCTTCTCATTTCTTCCTTCAGTGCTACAGCTAGTACCTTAGCAGGGTGAGAACCTCTGAGAGGCATTTTTCCCAGAAAGAAGCACTCTGGGATTGGCAGGCCAGTTAGTAATGGCCCGTTTCCACTGGATACCCTGCCTATTGGGCTGGCATTATGGAGGGGGGATGTTCCCAGGCTCCTCTGGGGAGGTCATTCAATCCCAGCCATGGCAGCTGGTGTCCTTGATGCCCTGGACCTCCATCAGAGAGGAATCTGGGGAAAACAAAGAGTGCAGCCGTGGCTGCAGACCTGAGCCCTCCACGCCCACTGGCCCCGGGTGGGGCCCAGCAGGGTTGGTGCCAGGCGCTGTGTGGCTTCTCCACCCCCTTCCAGGGCCCCTCAGCTCATCTGCTGGCTTTCAGAACCCCAGCCTTCCTGAATGGGTCTTTGTGTGCACCCCAGGAGCTGGCTCGGAAGAGCCCTGATCGAAATGCTGGACAGAGATGTCTCCTTGGGATCCAGGCACAGCCCGGCATGGTGCCCATCTTGTGGGAGGAAGGCCTTTATTGTGCCGCTTCAATGCTCCCGATCTGGGAGGGAGTGGGACCTGGATGAATGGGAGAAATGTTCTGCGCCCCTGCACAGTGGGGTCATGGGCAGGGCCACAGGGACAGCGGCTCCCCAGCCACTTCCCCACAGCTCTCTTTCCCACTCTGCCTCAGCCACTTTGTCCCCAGAGATGACTGTGGTAATATTCATACCCAGAGGCACTGTCACGTGCTCCCTCCCCAGGTGCCAGGCATTGTGTTCGGGGTTCAGTCTTATGTAATTAAATGGAAGTTGTCATTTCACAATCTCCATGCTACCCTCGAGGAAACCAAGGTCTAGAGATGGTGAGCAACCCGCCAGGGGATTCTGAACAGGAAAGCGAATGTGGATCAGATGGATCATCACCCTAACCTCCTCCTC